ATAATTTTTTTATTTTTATTAATTTAATAATTATTTTTAAAATTTTAATTCCTTTAAAGTGGGATCCACTTTATATCAAATTATTTTTTTATGCTTTTTTTCAATTAAAAAAATTAATAATCTTTTTTAGATTTAAATTTTTTATGAGACCTACTTAAGGGTTTGTTATGTGTTTGTTTTTTATTTTTTAATTATTTTTATATATTTAATAAATATTTTTAAGATTTTAAATTTTTTTGTGTGAACAACTTAATACAAAAGCTACATGACGTGTTCAGTCATTTGTTTCGTTTTTTTATCTTTTTCTTTTTTAAAATTTTTTTCTATTTACTTTTTAATTTTTTTTTCTTTTTTTAATATTTGAAATTTTGTATGTGGTGGTAATTTGATATTATTGATTAAAAATATATATATTTATTATTTTCTAATTTGATAATTATTTAAGAAAATAATGTCACAGATGTATCGACATCATATTTGGATTTGATTTTTTTTATTCCTTTCTCTTTTTTTTTTGTCTTTTTACTTTTCATTTTTTTTTTAGTTTTTGTCTTTTTAAAATTTATGATATAATTTTTGAAAAAAAAAACCCCACCATCTCTAATGCCTCTTTACAACTCAATTTTATTCCTTTTTTATTTTTCTTTTTATCTTTTCATTTTTTTAGTTTGTTTCTTCCATTTTTTTAAATTGAGTCATTTTTTAACTAATGAGAGTGTACACGTGGCACATATTTTATTTTTTTCACTTTTTATTTTTTTATTTTTTAATTAAATAAGTTTTACAACAAAAAACTGATAAATAAATTTTTGATAAAAATGTCAATAGAGGTATAGATGATCAAATAACTTCTATTTGATAAGTTTTGATTTGTTTGAATCCAATAGATTTGTTTTTAATTTGTGATTAAATTGGATTTTTTTTCAAAAATTAAGATTAGATTGAATATGAATTTAAGATATTTCACTCCACTTAAGTATATATTTGAGCTTTAAAATCTCAATTTTAAAATTGATTCAAATATCATTAAGTTAACAATTTATTAGTTAAAGTTCATCGTTTTTACTAATTGAATTCCACATGAATTTAACTCAAATGTTTTCCAAAAATTAGATAAATAAACATATATTCCATCTTAATTTACAACATAATAATATATTAAAAAAAGAAATTTTGTACTAATTTTACATCAAAACAACCAAACATCTTTGATAAGTTATCTAGCTGACAAGCTTAATGGTATCCTTATATATATAATTATTTTAATTATTTATTTCATTTTATATTTATATAAATGTATTATATCAATAAAGTTATTATTTAATATTTTAATTTAATAAAAATATTATATTTATAACTAATTAAGACCATTTATCAATCTATTACATAAATTTTATTTATTTTGACTTTTGTTTCACCCTCACGCAATATGTCAATGTAACATCTTATATTTTTTTTTTTAGCCAGATTTTTAGGTTTTTTTTTACTTTTTTTTTATTTTTAGTTTAAATAAATTTATGAAATAAAAACTCATTTGAAGTGTCCACATGACACTCTAATTGGGTTTTTTTCTTTTTGTTTTGTAATTACATAAATTTTATAACAAAAGAAGTCAATGGATAGAGTGGCAAAGTAAGTCATATTTAATGGGTTTCGATCCAACTTAATCTAATAAAAGGTGATTTTTTCTTTTCTTCTTTTTCTTCTTTTATTTATTCTTTTATTAGATAAAATTTTGTATGAAGATAATGTTAATAGAGATGTCCACATAGCATCCCTACTTGTTTATTTCCTTTTTTTTTGTATTTTTAATTAGATTAATTTTATAATAAAATTAACTATTTGATAGAGATGATAAAACAAAACGATAAGTATCTAATAAAATTCAATCCATTTCGATTGGATATGTGCATTTTTATAAAAATCAATATCAAGTCAAGTTGGGTCATTTTTTATAAATAGCAAAGATGGATCAAAGGCGGATATAGGGTGTTCTACTCCAATCCATCATGTGATTTGCATAAAAAGTATATAGTTTATTATTTATTTAATTTTATATTTATAAATATTTATGTATTATATTAATAAAATTATTATTTTATACTTTTATTTAAGATATTAGCATTTTAAATTTTATTATTATGTATACATAGTGTCCTAGTAAGCTTCTTTTTTAATTTTTTATTATTTCTATTTTTTGTATTTTTTTAATATATTTTTTATTAAATTAATTTTGTGAAAAAATAAGATCAATAGAGATGTTCACGTGGTGCTCTTCTTTGACTTTTTTTATTTCTTTTTATTTTATATTTTTTATTAGATAAACTTGCAACAAAAGATGTTGATTGATAAAAATATCAAAATAATTTATAGTTGATAAGTTTCAATCTATTTCGACCTGACAAGGATCTTTTTTTAAATCAAAATTAAGTTTGAACGGATTAAGTTTTCATGAAAAGCAAAATCGAGGCAAAAACGTGTTTAAAATTATTTGTCTCAACTTATTTTAAGGTATATATAAAAATATATATTTTATTATTAATTTTATTATATATATTATATTAATAAAAGTATTATTTAATACCTCAATTTATTAAATTAATATTTTAAATTCAATGATAGATCCACGTGACACTTTCTATGAATTTTTTTTATTTCTTTTATTTTTTATTTTAAATTATTATTATTTTTATTAAATCAATTTTGTTAGAATATAAAATTAATTGAATTATCGTATGTCAACAAGTATCCACCTATTACCTATAAAAAAATTGATGGCTCTGACCATCTTGACCCTTTTTAACAGAAGAAAGAAAGAAGCGTGAGAGTTGACACAAACTTCTTACCAAATTGGAGATGTTTCCGTGGCTCAATAAATTGCACTATAAAATTTGCCAAGGAATACTTTAAATATTTTATATTAAATATAGTAACTAATGATTAATTTTATAGATTTTAATATTGTAAATTATAATTATTTAAAACGATATTCTTAGAGAGTGTTATTAAAGCATTCTTAACAGATTTAAAATTTTATTAAGTGAGGGCAAACTACTATAAGTAATATTAAATATAAAAATATAAATTAATTTAAATGCATCAAAAATTATATAACACATTACAATGAATTTTATTGGTTTTATAATATGAAAATAAATTCCTCTAACATTGTCTCTCATTAGGATAATAGTTTACAATTTTTTTTTTTTCATAATCTTGAATCTAAAAAGAAATCATCTAAATCTAATTCAACAAGAACTTTTTTTATAAACTATTATGTGTCATTAATATTGATTTATGAAGAATTTTTCGAAAATTAGCTTCCTCTTAATAAGATGTTACTACACAACTAAATTAAATTAGGTAGTTTAATTTTTATAATTTCTAAGAAATAAAAAAATTATTGAAATGTAATTATGCAAACAAAACTAATAAACATATTTTATTATGTATTTTAAAATTTAATTAAATAAAATAATTTTATATATAAAAATTAAATTAATTTATTGTTCAACTTCAAGAAAGTATGACATTTCTTAATCTTAATCCACATTTAATATAAATATAAATAAAATTATAAATTATACCTTAAATCAAATTATTTTATCAATATAAATTTTTAGTAAGTAATTATTTTATAAAATTAAAAAATAATAAAAAATACAAAAAATACTTACCTGAATATAATAAAAATGAAAAAAAAAATGATTGGCTCATTAATTTGTTTCTTTGATTTTTTTAGTTTTTGTTTGTCTTGTTGTTTCTCAAGTTTTATTCCCTACCGACCATAAATCTTATGAGCTTGAGAAAAATCAGAAGAAAAACGAGTGGAGTCAAAAGAAAATCATTTTTCGGTTGACTTTTATTATTTTTTTAAATAAAATGATGATTCTTGAAAAAAAAATTATTCATAAAAGTTTATTTTATTTATATTTACAAATGAGACTATTATTTTGGTAAAACAATTTATTTTTATTGCAATTATATTTTATTTTATAACATTTATAAAGATATCTATATATTTTATTTCTTTTTTCTAATTAAGGCAAACAATAGAAAAATTAACATTTTTTACCAAATTTTATGACAAAATCTAAGGAGTATAGCATCTCAGTGGGGCAGCCGCACCACTTCCCCATTGTAAATCCATCAATGGTTACTTATGAAAAGATATTTTGCTCCTTTCAATTATAGGCTATCAAATCATTCGAAAGAATGGAGGCTATAAAGTATGAAGATAAATTCGCTTCGGGAAAAAAACAGATTCATAGATGTTAATCTCTATCGGAGTTTCTTGAAGCCTCTAAGGGCCACGCATTCAATCCAAGGCTCTTTTCTCTTAAGTTTTAGTTTACTATAAATATTTTAAAATTTTAAAATTTTCTTAAATTGTAATAAAATATTAAAATATTAAAATTCATGAATATAATATTTAAATTATAAATTTATTAATTATTTATTCATAAAATGTTGAATTAATTATGTTAAAAATAAAAATTATATTAAAATTTTTTAAATTTAAAAATTATATTATATATTTTATTATAATTTAAGAATATTCATAAAAAATATAAAAAAAAAAAAACACATATACACAGTCCAGCTTTCGGAAATGGAAAGGGCATCATTAATATGGCCCACTCTGTCTGCACTCTCCCTCGAAATTGGTAAATGGAAGACCACAACATAAAAATGGGGGAATACTTAAAATTGTAGCATTTGAGTCATTTGATACTTTCATAGTTTCATATCAATCACCCGGCCGGGTTGCGGGTCCCAGTCCCAGACCCCAAGTTCTAAAGAAGGACAAGTAGACCCAAAAATCCAATTAAACCTTATCCCATTCGGTCACTCGTACCCATACAAGACTAGGAAGGAGAATAGCAAATGAATTAGTGCAAGAGATGAAATTTGGAAGGTCAACAAACTAATTTGCAAAGCATATACGCAAGCAGAGCCAGATAGTAAAAAAAAAAAAAAAAAAAAAACACAAGACCAAAGCAAATTAGATACATTGAACGTGGACATTTGTTGTTGAAGCCTTGTAGGCTATAAGAGAGATCTACTCATCGCCATTAGTTGGTACACTACTGCTTCCTACCTTCTCCACCAATCAAAGAAGAAAACTTAAAACAGCAAGCAAATGGCTCTAACAAGGGCTGTAGCTGATTACAAATCCATAGCAGCAAATAAAAAAGAGGAAGAAGGGTTGAGGAAGAGAAACCAGGAGTTGGAGAGGGAGTTGAAGGAGAGCAGGGAGAGAGAGGAGCAGATGAGAAAGGAGTTACAAAAGATGTGGGAAAGGCTAAGGGTGGCAGAAGAGGCAGAGGAAAGGCTCTGTTCTCAGATGGGAGAGCTAGAAGCAGAGTCCGTCAACCAGGCCCGTGCTTACAACGCCCACATCATATCCCTCATGGACCAGCTCTCCAAGGCTAACGTTCTCGTCGACAACCATCGCTCCCCTGCACCCATCTCCATCCTTTGATCTTTTCACTTTAATTTCTCAACTATTTTCTTGTAGTATGTACTATATTTTTGGGCTTCCGCTTTTGGGTGATGTTTTATTATGGAAACAAAGGTGTGAGGCTTCTAAATCCTTGAATTTTGTGTATGGATCCGTACACATAATAGTTTTAGTTTGTCGTGAATTAGTAAGTGCCGAGGCTACTGATGAAGCATGCGTGTAACAATGTGAAAAATTCATAGTCTATGTTTCAGTTTTTTTCGCTGTTGGAAATGTAAGGATCATCCCTCCCTCGTTGTCAAACTTAAACAAGTTTACGAGGCGTCTAATTATTTTTTTCTCTCATGGATTTGGTGTCTAATATCTTCTTGTTTTTGTTTAAGGTCGGGGAGAAAGAGAAGTCCAACTGACCTGACTCTTTTACTCCGTAAGGACCAATAAACCTTTGAATTTGAAGCAAAGTCGTGGTTCTAAATGTAAGTTTATTTTTAAAGATTATCGGCTCCAGGTTTATACAAAGGTTTGTTAAAGCTTGTATTATAATAAAGATCTACTTGTTATTTATTTTGTAAGATTTTTTAACTCTTATTTGCATCTTTTTTTTAAGTTCTTTGTTTCAAAGTTCTAACGTGCATATTTGAATTGTTGTTGGCTTTTGTGGCTTGGATTGCTTTTGTTGGCTAGCGTTGTCAGAATAGCACACCGTTTTTAAGCATCATAAGAAAATTTATGAAAAAAAATTTTGTATTTGTCAAGATAAATTTTATAATCATGACTTACATATCGATCTTAAGTATGAATCTAATAATATTAGCATCAGCAGAACTGTAAATGATTTAATAGATTTAATTTTTTTTTTATAAACTTTTTGTAAAAATAGATACTATAGAAGATAAGGTAGATATGCTCGTAGAAAAGATAGACCAAACACATAATTTTTCAGAAACATCAACAGATTTTGGATCATTTTATTATGGCAATATTATGATGAATGATGATAAACCTTCATCTTCATTAGCAAAGGAGAAACGCAAAGGAGAAACAAAAACAATTTGATTTCGACTCTTATAAATATATTAATGAAAATTTTAAATCTAAAATGAAAAAAATTGACAATCTGAAACAATGGATTGATTATCTCAAACAATAAAGACACTTTATGAAGAATATAAAGATCTTTTTTTTAAATATAAATATCATTATATGCTTAACTATGACACAATCAGTGTCAGTAGTGAAGAAATAGATGATAATTTTAAAATTTTTGTTACTAATCCAATAGTCAAAGATGAATTAATTTCATTAGATGAAATCACATCCGATGAAACAGATAGTTTTGATGATCAATCAGATCCAGAACAAAGTGAAATTTTTATCCCTCAAACAGAAGAGCGTGGGAAGAGAAAAGCAGAAACAATATCTAACCCAGATATTGATGATATGTTACGATTTTCAGATTTATTATATCTTGATATAATGGATCAACATTTTCCTCATTTGAAAGAAAAATATTCTCACCTAAACAAAGATGAGATAAAACAAACTTCTGATTTTGGCCAAACAAGTCAGGTTAGAATTGAAACTCCTGTTATCGATTCGTTAAACAAACAAACGGTTTCTCAAGGTGGTACTTATTTAGACTTAACCAAAGTCCCTCTCTTAAAGACTATGAAAAAATCGTAGATGATTGGACACAATCTATCTATTGTTGTCATAGGTTTCAAAGAGCAATGGAATAAAAAAAGATTCTTCAACTACTTTTATGGCACATGACAAGGTGATGTCCTTCAATTTCTCAAAAAATGAAAAACTACAACCCTCGGAGAATAGCAGAAATCTACTTTGTTAGCTGTAGGAAATATACCTTAACTTTTGAAAAATTTAACCTAAATCTTAAAAAATGAGTTTTGTGAAAGTACAGAATCTTTAGATCCCACTCAAGAAGCTCAATTTATTTTATCAAAATTTAAATTATGTGATATTAAATATTTAGATGAATTTTCTAAAAAATATCTTTCTGAATATCACAAATTGGATGAAAAACATTCAAATTTTTTGCTATTACAATATTTTCTCAAACTTTCCTCACCATGGGATGAATTATATTCATAAAATTACCTCGTTTACCTAGAGTTAAAACTCAAAATTATTCATGTTGCAAATCTCAACATCGAACTTTATGTTACTCTTGGATGTAGAATACACTACGTTCAAAATTAGGTCAACGAATACTGCTTCAAGCAAAAAGTTGCTAAGCAGATAAAATCCAAACTTTCGTATAAACAATGTACAAAGATTTTAGAAAATGAATTTGAATTTGGTTGTAAAAAACAATCTTTTTCAAAGAAACATCGTTTTAAGAAAAAACGAAAATATTTTTGAAAAAAATGGAAACCTACAACAACTTTTAAACCTAAAAAAGGTAAATTTGTTGTTAAAAAGAAGAAAAAATCTTTTAAAAATAATTGTAAATGTTTTCTTTATGATCAAGACGGTCACTATGCAAATACTTGTCCTAACAAAGGAAAAAGTGTGAAGAAAATGATAAAAAATTTTGATGACAGTTTTTTTCAAATTTGTTTTGCTGATGAATTATCTGATGAAGAAATTTATTATGAAGTTTTTTCAGAAACAGATTATAGTTCTTCTGAAGATGAATCAAATTTTATTTTTATATTGAATATTGAATCTAACCAAGACAATGTTTCAGTAACCTCTTCTACAGGTACAACAACTACCAACGAAGAAGGTATGGTTAAACTCAAAAATATTATGAGAAAACTCATTTTATTTCTGATGATAAACTAAAAGAATTACAACTCATCAAACCCGATGAAATCTACAAAACAAGTTGGTTTAAACGATTCCAACCTTGGTCTAAACGTCATATAGAAAAACTATTTGGTGACAGACGCTAACTATTCTAAAAAAGGATCGGTAGAAATTTCTCTTTTACTAAAAGAAAATAAACTATTTTCTTTCTAGATATCCAAAGGTCAAATACATTCATATAGAAATGATTTTGATCACCATTAAACCATTATTTTTATCCACAAAGGATATTTTCATAATAGCTGTTTTAATGGACCATTGTTTTCAAAACCCTGCTGTAGACACCCAATCAGGTCCGGGCCCGGATCAATTGGGCCTGACCCGGATCAATTGGGCCTGACCCAGATCATTTGGGCCTGGCCCAAATGGGCAAGGCCCAATTGAATTTTTACCCGTATTTTTTATTTTTTATTTTTATTTTATTATTTTTTTTCTCTCTTGTGTATTTTATTATTTATTATTATGTATTAATATATGTATATATATATATATATTTTCATTAGAATAGATTTATATGTATATAGTTATATATTTATTATTATTATATTATTATTCTTATCTTTTTTTTTAATTATCTGTTCTGATTTTTTCTGATTTTCAGATATTATTTGAAAATTTTTTATCTTTTGATTTATCTTTCCAATTATCTAGATTTTTTTTTTAATTTTATTTTAATTTTTATTTTGGAGGGCTAGGATTCAAAGTTGAAGACTCCCACTCTGAAGGGGAATTCAATCAGAAGAGTCCAATTGGATTCAAAGACTGAATTCCCGTCCAAAGAGGAATTGGGATTGATCAGAAACTCCTGATCAATCCCTATAAAAGGGACCCCCCTGGAACAGTCAAGAACAGAGAGAAAACAGAAGCAAAAGCTACTGATTGAGAGAATAGGGGTGTTTAGAGAGCTAAGGAAAAGTTTAGGAGTGTTCTGGCAGTGAGAAAAATTTTTTAGAAAAATTTGGCGAAAAAAATTTTCTGGAAATTTCTGGGAAATTTCCAGATTCCGACGAAAATTCCGGCGACTTTTGAATTTTCCGGCCACAATTCCGGCGAACTTTGAAGTTTTCGGCGACAGACCCAGTTTCCGGCGGAGAATCCCAGAAACCGGCGACCATCCGGCCAACTTCCGGCCAATTTCCGGTGAAATTCCCAGATTCCGGCGAATTTTCCAGAATCCGGTACCGGCGTTCTTCAAATTCTAGAGAGAAGGCAGAGAAGAAGGGAAGAAGAGAGAGAGAGGGGAGGAATGGTCTGCTGAAAAACGGAGGAAGGTGCCTTTTATACCCTCCCAAAACGACGTCGTTTTGGCTTTAAGTTAATAAGAGGATCCGCGCGTTTTGCCGAACCCGACCCGACCCGAAGCGTCGACCCGCTTTCTGACCCGCGCGTTTCAGCCCCTCCGAGCCGAACCCGACCCGACCCGAAGCGTCGACCCGCTTTCTGACCCGCGCGTTTCAGCCCCTCCGAGCCTAGCCGAGCCGAGCCGAGCCGCACCAAGCCGAGCCGCGATCCGAGCCGCTCCAGGTTTTTTTTTTTTTTTGAATTTTTTTTTTGAATTTTTTTTTTTTACTTTGATTTTGATCTTGATTTTTTTTCTTTTTTCTTTAATTAATCCGACGACGGAGCCTCTACAAGTAAAAACAGTAGTTTTTCTTGCATACTCCTGAGGTGAGGGAATTTTCTCAATTTTCTGCTAAAAGTATTAGAGTCAATTGAGAATAATTTCCGATAATTAATTACTTGGCTGATTTTGATTTTTTTTTTCTTTAATTAATCCGACGACGGAGCCTCTGCAAGTGAAACAGTAGTTTTTCTTGCATACTCCTGAGGTGAGGGAATTTTCTCAATTTTCTGCTAAAAGTATTAGAGTCAATTGAGAATAATTTTCGATAATTAATTAATTGGTTGATCTTGATTTTTCTTTAAATAATCCGACGACGGAGCCTCTGCAAGTGAAACAGTAGTTTTTCTTGCATACTCTTGAGGTGAGGGAATTTTCTCAATTTTCTGCTAAAAGTATTAGAGTCAATTGAGAATAATTTTCAACAACTAACTACTTTGTAAAATTTTAAGGCTTTTGGATAACACAAATTCAAGCTGGTACCATCTTTTGATGGGCGTTGTGAGGGTGCTATAACCTTCCTCACACGTAACCGAACTCCCGAACTCTGTTCTGGTTAAGCAGACCCGAACCTATTCTTTTAGGGACCCTTAAGCTTAGGTGTTCCCTGAAAGGACAGATTCCTTAGGTGGCCAATCACACCTGGATAAAAAAAGATTGGTGGCGACTCCCTAAAATCAATGTCTAGCGACAGATCCCCGGATCTAGACGTTACGACAGCTTGGCGACTCCGCTGGGGACCTTGAGAGTCAGGCCAGCAAATAATTTGTGTTATCCAAAAGCCAAATGAAATTGAACCTTGTTGTATATATGTGTTGTTATTCATTCATGCTTTAGTTACCTTGTTAATTATGTCATTCATATGCATGTGCATAACATGAGCTCTATACCCGAGCTCCGTCCCTCTAGGAGGGAGTAAAGTACCTATTGCTTTCGTGTGGTCTAATGCCTCCGTAGTGGCTAGCGAAATACTCCCACTCAAATTGAACCTTTTCCGCTTGTAGCCTGTAATGGGTGAGGATTAGGGTGCCTTACTAGTCTGTGATGGATAAGGATGTAAGGAACAATTTGAGGACCTTTAGACTCTGACTTTAAAACCACATGTAGTGAACCTTAAGAGT